CTTCTTTCAATCACTTTTTAAGGAATAAACCTATTTTGATATTTAGATGTCATTAATTATTACATTCAAGTTTCCACAAGCTTGACATTTTTACCATTTAAACAAAAGTCCAAAATTGTATGATCCTTGATGTTTGTAGGAATAATATGCACCTTGGAAATAGTGCAACTACTGCATGGCAAGTACTGGGCTTGATGTTCCACATACAACCAAGAACTGTATCCCTGAAATCTTAACTGTAAACACCAAGAAAGCAGTAGCCCCGCCACCAGCCAAGCTCATCTCCTCCCGATCCTTTCCTGCCATAGTTTACAATCAGGAACTTAGAACAAAAAACCCTAAACAGATCTAGGCCGAGGGTACTGACTGAGTTAGAAACACTGCATTTGCCAGCTTAACTCTGTCCTGGTAATCTCACAAAGGCAGAAGGAATTCTTGGGAGGGGTTACGCTTACTATAATTGCAGCTTTTGCTAAGAAGGAAGACAAAACTTCAAAAGATACAGTATATCTTTGCCAACCTCTCTTTCCTTTCTATAGCCTTTTTCTGAATGCTCCACACACAGAAGTCTTCCTGCCACCTTTATCTCTCCAGATTCCTTCGTCCTGGGACATCTCTCGAGAGAACTCATATAGAGCCTTATTGCCACTGAGATTGTTAATTAATTCAATCAATGAATGAAGATTAACCCTCCTACAGCGTTATTAAATAAGATTATACTACTCAACCAGTGTCAATTGGTAGATGTGGCAAGGAGATACTTTCAGTGAAGAAATTCAGAAGCCATCCACTCCCTACCCTAGGATCTATCTCTGCATTTTCAAATCCACTGGGAAAGTAACACCTTTACAGCCCCATACCTGTTACACCTCCCCCAAACCCCACATACAAGCACTGTCACAACAAAACGTTACAGGTAGTCACTACCCTGCAGTACAAACATATGAACGGTGCTGTGTGTGTGTGTGTGTGTGTGTGTGTGTGTGGTCATGAATAATCCTACGAATTGTACTGTGTAATGTTTATATGTGGCCATAATTATAAACACAGAATGTAATATTTGTATGGTAGGGCAGCATTCTCCTTAAACCTCTAATCTTTCCATCTCCCCTCTTGCATACATCATTTGGTCAGAAAGAAAAAGCAAAGGGCTCTTCAGTGGACCCCGTCAGTTCCAAGGGTCCTAACTTTTCCTCTTTTCCCTCTCTGCCCCTTCCTTAAGTGACCCCTCCATTCCTTCCAGGGCCCGAGGCAGCCTCCCCCCATCTTCTCTATGCCCCTGATCTCTGAAATTCTCTCCTGTTTGCCGTACCTTCCCCCCATCCCCTTCTCTGGCTCCCCGCCACCAACGCACACGCTCCGGCTTCTCTTATTCATAAACACAAATCCACAGAACTCTTTCAACGTCTCCTTTCTTCCTTTAGCTGTAGTCCTAATTCTATCTTCTCAAGGTCCATTAAAACGCAGAGCCACTGCCTGCATTCTCACTGGTCCCCACCCGCCAAGGTCCCCGATGGTACGGTTGCTATGTCCCAAAGATTCCCATCTGTGTCCCACTTGGCCAGTACCTGATCTTGTCTTCAAGTTCCTCCTCTTTGAACTTCTGCTGCCATTACTTCTCCCTGCCTTCCTACTATCTCTCTGCTCCCTGGTCCCAGGGACCTTGCTTGATCCTTGCAAATGAAGCTGAATGCACTGTGTGCTCCTGGTCTTGTGCGCCTCCCACCTAAGACATCAACACAGTTCACCCTTATTGTTCATTCTATTTTATGTCTGCTCTGCTAGACCCTAATTTTCTAAGAGCAGGATTCCTGCCAACCATGACAATCTGGCATAGAGAAGCTTGTTTAAAAAACAACAAGTTTTACAGATACATATTTAATATAAATATATATTTATATAAATATACTTAATATATAAATATATATTTAATATAAATACATAAATAATATATTTATTATAAATATATATATTTAATATAAATATATAAATAATATATTTATTATAAATATATATTTAATATAAATATATAAATAATATATTTATTATAAATATATATTTATTATAAATATATAAATAATATATTTATTATAAATATATATTTAATATAAATATATAAATAATATATTTATTATAAATATATAGTTATATATGTTATATATTATCATAGATAGATGGATGGATAGATACACCCTCATTTTACAGAGGAAGAAATAAAAGCAGTCAAGCTAATTACCTGGCTGATTCTAAGATCTTTCCAAGCTTCTGATTTTCCAAAGCTATAGACTCCCTCTGGGAAACAAAGACAAAGTTACCCTTTTACCTATATTTTAACTTGCTCATCTCTGAACTAGGAAGTCTTAACACTTTTTTCAGGTATTTCGTAGGAAAACACCTCAATTTACACTCCTCTATAAAAGCTTCAGTGTTCCCGCCTTGATCACCTTGGTATAATCCACGCTGAAGCCCTCTAATATGCTCACCCAAGTGCAAAATCACAAAGATCGATGATGGAAACGAGATATGTAAAAGAGACTGAAGTTCCTCTACCAAGCAAAATTTCGCATGCACATAGTGACTGTTCTGATCATGGCAGAGCCAAGGAACCTGGGGGAACTGTAACACAGATCACATTTTAAAGAAGTTCCAGCACTGTTTATAAGGGACCAGGTTGAGTCAGAAAACAAATTCCTCAATCATTTAAAATCAAAATAGCAATGTACATACCAGCAACATATTCCAAATGAACAACATGACCAGCTACTATGCACAGTTTTATGGACACCAATTTTATTTTAATTCCTACATCAGTATGTGCCATTCCTTCTTACATTGAAATGTTTACCTTTTGGTCACTAAGCAAGCCTCTGTGAGCGAGCTAATGAAAACACATCTGCTCTCATTTTATTCTTACAACAACTTGAGGAGAAATAATATGTATAGAAAGTGAGCAGAGGCATATCTTTATATCAAATATTATTGCTGTGGGATTTATATCAAAACAAAGTTGACTGAAATAATGCTTTACATGGAAATTAAACGCGCTGCAATGTGAGCTGAACTTGCACATGCAAGTCTGACCTACAACACTGCATCGCCGTGTCACTCACGGATCTAACCAGGAGTCCACGGTTCAAAGCCTACAGTCAGACCCTGCAATGCCATTTAAATCCTTTTAGCTTCTAAGTTTGGTACTTGAGCCTGTTTGTTTTGGTCCATAAGGGTAAAAGCCAAGATGTGTCCTTCATGTCCACTACCATCAGCCTCCCCCAAGCCCAGCATTTCTGTCAACCCTGCCATGTCCCAGAGTAGTTTTCCTGCAAACTATGCATCCACCTTGGTCACTGTGTTCCTTTGTGGCCAGGACTCGATCTGGACCCTCACCCTGTGCCCAAGTACTATGCCTCCCAGCTCAAGCCCATCTTACTTTCCAGAGGGTTAGTGACAAACATCAAATTAATCTCAGCCTCCTGGTGTGGGGAACTAAGCTCTAATACTGCTGACCAGGGTCCCTTCACCCATACTAGACCCCCTCCAGTCCTGGCCAAGGAAACTGTTCTCTCCCAGCCTCTCAAGCATACCAGTGGTACAGAGCAGGTGAGTGCAATGTATGTTTAATTAGAGGCAAATCATCTTCCTGGCCTGTCCTAAAACAAATTATATTCTCAGGCAGGTTGTCTCATTTGACTTTTTGAGACAGGCTCTTGCTATGCAGTTCAGACTGGCCTTAAGCTCACTTTGTAGCCCAGGCTGGTCTTGAACTTGCAACGCTCCTCCTGCCCCTGCCTTCTGAGTGCTGGGATTACGGGCATGTGCCACCACGTCCAGTTTAATACGATCTCCGAATCTAAACCAACTCAAGGCCCCAAGATACCCATGTGACACTTAGATCACCGTGATGTGCTGACTGTCCCTGCAGCTGAATAGGCTCGCCATCATTTCTTCCCCTGGCTTCTCCAAGTCTCGATTTTCAGGCCGAGGCACTCCTTCTCCCATCGCACTTCGGGCAACCCCGAGGGTTACCCGCTTTTTGCTTAGCGAGGACTTAGAAGAAATCTAACCCGAAGGGACTCAAGGCCAGAGGCGGAGAGCAGGCTGGTGTGAAACAGTGCTGTCTGTTACTTAATTATTCAAAGCCCTCTGTGAATTTCAACCTTTCTCATAGAGCAGCTGTCAGAATTTACACACACACACACACACACACACACACACACACACACACACACACGGAAGAGACCAAAATGCTACTTCCATGTGCTCTGCCCTCCTCTCCCACAGTCGTACCTGCTTCATCTCTTCTGGATCAATAACAAATCAAGCATTGACCCTCAGACTCCCACAGCCAGCCCCACGGTCCTATTATCTGCAGCGTCTTCAGCATCTCTTTAACCCAGCATTCTCACGCTGAAGGGAAGGCATCTCAAGTGGTCCCACACTGTGTTTTGTGGTTCATTGACTTTTCCCCCAGGATGTTCGGGTTAATGGTACATTTCTCGAATCTGCAGCAGCTCTAGGTTTCAGTAATATGGAATCAAGAGCAGCGGGGACTAGTTTGATGAAAGTTCACCAATTTCCCTTAGGAGTTTTTCAAAATTCAGAACAGTAAAGAAAGAAAAGGGAAGGTCGAAAATAAATGTAGGTAACTATTAAGCCTTTTTGTTTTCCTGACACCCTTCAGATCCAAACACTACTATTCTGTTACAGAGACCTTAAGGAATCCGCTTTGCCCACAAACCCAGATCTTAACAGGTGAGTCCCCAAGAGACTATGCTGAGACTTGTCCCAAGTTTGAAGTTAGTATGTGGGTGTGGGATCTGGTCTTTTCAGCCACAGATGACACCAACGAAAAGGAATAAAGAGATAACACAGACAGAATATAGAGAAGAGTCCCAGACACCCAAGCATCCTGGCCTCCCCACGGCTGCCACGCCCTGGCAGAGGCAGCCCGGCCTCGCCCCCTCCCTCGGGCGCCCCTGACCGCCCGGGCAGCGGCCCCTTACCTTGCGGGAGTACGGGGGTTTGCTGAGATGGATGCCGTCACGGACTAGCTTATCCCTGATCATGATCTTCAGCTTGAGTTTAGGGTAGCTCACCAGCTCCCTGCTGCGGGGGGCGGTGGTCTGGGTGCGCGGGTCCCCGCGGGTGCCCTGGGACGTGCCGCCGCATGGCTCCCCCCGGCGGCCGGCCGGGACAGAGTCCACTGGTGGCGAAGCGGGCTGCGGCTCGAGGGTGAAGTAGAGGCCGGCGGCGGCGGCGTCCTGCTCCCGCAGACGGCGCACGGCCTCCAGCACTCGTCGGCGGTGCGCGGGCGCCAGCACCCCGATGGCATCCAGGTCCGGGTCTCCGATCTGCTTGCACACTTCCAGGTCATCGTAGCCGTTATCCACGAAGGACTCCGCGTACTGCGGGAGCTGCAGCGCTTTCAGCCACTCGTAAACTATGTTGGTGCACATGGTGGGGCTGGGGACCCCTCCGGCGGACGCCCTCCTGTCGCCTGGGAGGCACCAGCTCGTCGAACTTTGATCCTCTCCTCCAAGGGGGAAAAGCAAGCACAGTAAAGTTTTCCTGCTAGAGCAGAGTCCGGATGGAGCCCTCAGGAGAGGCCAGGGAGGGAAACGCTTGCTCGCACCAAAGTGAATCCCAGAGCAGCCGCCAGCGCGCCACACAGGGCTGGGCGAGCGCTCCGCTGCGCGCCGCCCCTGGATGCGCAGCCGCCGGGGGAGGGGCGCGGGGGCGGGGCGGGGCGGCGGGCGGGGCCGGCGCGCGGTCAGCGGGGTGCCCCCGGCCCGGACGGTCCCGGGGACGCTGGCCTCATCGCGCCGTCCGAGCGCCGCGGCTGGCGACTGCGCACGAGTCCCGCGCCGGGGAGGCGGCTCCTGTGCGCCCCGGGAGGGAGCCCCGCGTCTCGGCGCGCGCCTGTCACCGTCGTCCTCCTGGAGAGCTGCGGGGCGCTTTGCAGCGGCCGGACTCCGGGCGCTGTCCGCTGGGGGTGGTTTGTGACATTTCTTTTTAACCGGACTTCTGTGACCCGTAGAGTCTCCGCGCTCACTTCTCCCGGAGCCCGTGTGTCGCCGGCGTTGGCGCCCAAGGGCACGGCCCCGCCACCCGCCGGCTGGGCGGTCCCTGCTGCCGGCACCTGGACCCGCGCTGCGCCCTCCTTCCTCAGAGCCCCGCTCACGCGGAAAGCCAGCGATCTGGCTGCTTCGGTGGTCGCCTGAGCTGTGCCCCGAGCGGTGGCGCCTCCGAGGGCGGGTGGGTGCGACGTGGGGACCGCCCGTGTCCAGCTCCTCCTCGCCACAGCTGGGCGCGCCGCGGGCGGGGTGGCTGCGGCTCGTCCTTCCTAACGCCTCAGATCTGCGAAAGTTTGGGGCGGATGGTACTCCCCCCCCCGACCCGGGAAGGCAGTGGCCTGGTACCCTCTCCTGCTTCCTGCCAAGCAAGACCCTCGTCTGCCCAGGCTTCCTCTCAGGCCCGCCACCCGGCCCGGGGCGCGCAGGGTGGATCTGACCCCAGCAAAGTGCCAGGCGCTCAGTCCCCGAACCCGGGGTCACAGCTGGCCCTCCCTTCTCCGCCCCAGGATCGCGTGAAAACCAACACTGTGCACCACCCTGTAGCTAGATTAGAGGGGGACCGGGACAGCTCTCCCGCGGCACTTTCTGGAGAGTAACAAATCAACCGACTTTTCCCGTGGTGCCGTTTAAGGCCAGAGCAAGCTTTGGGGTGGGAACCCCAGCGGCAGGTGCAACAGACCCAGCGCCTGGACCGCACTCCCGGGTCTGACCTGTTGGCAGAAAGGGAAGCGAGCAGCCCTGGGGACAAACTCGCTGTTTCTCCCCTTTTCCTAGAGGTGCGATTCAGCAGCACACCTGAACTCAGGACCTGACCCGACCCTTTTCTGAAAAGTCCCCGTGGGGGTGCCAGCCACTCACCCCGACATCTAGAGGTGAACACGCAGTGCTTCAGAGTCTGCCGCGACTGTATGTGTGGGGGACAGGTCCTTGCTTCGCTAACTCAGTAGAGCTCACAGACCCCTTAAAAATCAGATGGCGCCCAATAAAATACCCCATGGTGGCTCAGCCAAAATGTTCCCTGCAGTTGCAAGGGAGTCCTGGGTTTTGTAACTCCAGATCCTTCAAATTTAAAACGCCTTCCAGGATTAATGGAGAGACACAGGCTCTGAGGCTGCTGGTGGTCCCAGTTCGGGCCACCCAAAGCGCCCTTTCTGGAGCAGGAGCTAAGGTCGCGTGCTTTTAGGGCGACCCTAGTGTAGGGTGCGGGGCGCCCAGGCGCTGGGATGCTGTTCGGTCTTTCCATCGACAAAGCGGGTGCACAGTGCCCTCTCGCGGCCGTGTCGAGGAATTTCAAGGCGTTGTCCAGTTTTCCAAAGCCATTCAACAGAAGGCTTGAAGACTTTTCCTTAGTTTCTGGCCACCTTTTTCAAGTACAAATATTTGTATCACGTTTATCTCTCTCCCAATGTTCCCTCATAATATCACCGGTGTATGCTGTCTAATTCATGGGAGAAGTTTGGATAGTTACAAAAGGCGAGCTTTTCCTTTTTAGGTGGAGAAACTTCAAACTCAAGGGTTTTCCCATGTTTTTTCTCTCAAGCTGTGTGAAAAGTCCAACAACACTATTTCATAGCTCATTACTTTCTTACATATAGCCTCTTCCCCTCGGGGGGCTTGAGGACATTCATTTTGTCTAATTACTCTTCAGGAAAGGCAGTATTTTTATTTTCATTTTACAATTAGAGAAACTGGTTCAGAGGAAGATAAATGACTTGCCCAAGGTCATATAGTAAATCAAGACAGAGACAAGACCGAGCTTGTCAGAGTGTCTCCCAACAGGCAGCAGCGACTTTCTTTATTTATATTCAAAGAATCATCCCATTAGGGAATCTGGCAGTCTGTGCTCTCTGGAGAGGAAGCCTCTTGTAAATTAATCATTTGTTCATCTGCCATAAATACAAACCTACTCACTTTTGACCTCCCGAGGAAACTTGCTGTCTGGAGACTTCACTAGTCCGAGCTGTGGAGACTTCTTCCCCCGTCTACTTCTGTCTCCCACGCGTGCTCAGGTCTCCCCGTGTGCACCCCCAGGCCTCCTGTCTTTCTCCTGCTGCCTTACCTGGAACCTCTCCGCACATTTCATTCCAGAGGCTGTCATGTCTGATCAGGACAGCAGGACAGCTGGTTTGTTTCCTGTCGAGAAACAGGACTGAAATCCGCAGTAAAAAACTGGCAAGAACAATGCTTCGCTACTTTTAAGATTCCGATCTGTAGTCTTTTAGAAATGGGAGGCCATTCCATATCAGCTCTAGCATCCAAATTTGCAGAGAGGAAGCAGAGGCCCATGAGAGTCAAGATGCTTACCATGACCAGTGGGGGACAGGACTGGGACAGGAACCCAGTCTGGTCCCCACCTTGCTCTTCACGGTGTTCTGCACTGTCCCGTCTTTGCCACGAGCACCTCCCTGCCATCAAATGCATTCATTTTCGCAAATGTTCATTACATATCCACTGCAGATTTAGGCACTGGAGCACAAAGAGGAGAGGTTTTTCTTCCGTAATTGGAACTGGAGAGACTTCAGCATTTAAAATATATAAAAAATAAAATGATAGCTTTTTTATATGTTAAAGAATTGTGAAGATTAGGAAGGTATAGACTATTTTCTTCTATTTTTATTATTATGTAAATTCTGTAAGTCATAACATTCGGCCAAATTTGAAATTAAAATTTAGCTAACATTTAGACCAAAAAAATGTGCATTACACAATAACTATTACAACCTCAGTTACAAATTTAAAAGACCGTATTAATTTACCCAGCACCCATGTTGGTATACAGATACTTGTATAACGTAGTTTTGAAAAATAATGCTTTTTTAAAGTTTTTTCTTTGAGTAAAAATTTAAAAACATTTATCAGGCCAGTTATTATTTAATATGATTGAGGTCAAACTTCTTTTTCCAAAAAGGACTCATTTCTTGCCTACTGACAAGCCACAAGAGAACAATTTATGGGGGAAGTTTCTTTTTAGGCAGTATTTTGGAATTATATCACAATGATAATAATTACAGTAAAATGTAAAGTTAACACTGACACCCTCTGTGTAATTAATTAAAGATAATCATGTTCACGTTTTAAATTCTAAATATCAAAACCCAGCTTTTCTGCTTTGCTCAGTAATTCGATTTAAGGTTACAGAGTGAAAAATAATTTGTTTTGAAATTTTCTTGGTGCTACGTAAGGTTTCATACTATTTTATGTAGAAGATAAATGTTCTCACCTAGTATGTATTAAAATTAAATTCCATTAACATCTATTAAACATCAGTCCCCAGGGTGTCTAGCCTTGTAAAAGGGGTATATAATATTAATCTTAAAATACTAAATATGTCTCACCTTTTTTAGCCATGAGCTGCAAAGCATCAAGAAAGAACATGTGGCGTAGGAGGAAATGGGAATAATAGGCTTGAGTGATGGGCGAGGCAATCTTGTTCTCCAGTGCAGAGCTAGGCGGGTTTGGCACCTTAATTAAGGGCAGGGCCACCGAGGGTGTCTGTTAATATGCCTGAGCTGCAGACATTGTATTTTGGTGTGACAACATATACACGAAAGAAGCAGAGACAAGGAGCCATAGGGAGTCCCAGCGGGATGCCATTAGATTATTCATTGCTGTTATAATAGACACTGCTTTCTTTAAAAGAAACAAAGGGGATAAAAATGCATGCTCTGGAAGTCATAAATTTGGAGGTCACTAATAGAAAGAGCGCCAAGCAAGATGCCACTTTGGTGACAAGAGAGAAAATGAGTTTCATTTAAAAACTCTTATCCTCGCATCTCTGAAAATCTCCAGAAGTTCTGTCTTCATATGCACTCAAGAAAGGAGGCGGAGATGAATCCAGTGTTTCCCAGAGGTAAAAATGAACATCGGTGCAATATTTTGATGCATAAAAATAGATTAACTCTTAGAAATACCTCTTTCTGCCGGGAATTTAGCTCAGTGGCTCAAGTGTTTGCCTGGTAAGTGCAAGGTCTTGAGTTCAGTCCCTAGTACAACAAAACAAAACAAAAAACCTTACTCTTTCTTTTATGTACTGCAAGTCAGGAAAGTTACTTTTGCACTTAAAAGGCCGGTTGTGCAATGATACTGATTAAAGCTAGTTCAGACAACTACAAGTTACTTATACATACAGCCACAGCAATTGAATCGCTCAACCCGTGACCAGTTAGTTACCTACCTTGCATTAACAGTAATGGTTCTTATCGAAGTGTTTCTTTTGCTTTGGGCATTAGCACAACCAATTTGATGACACCTGTTTCCTGAGACCCAGCTGACCCGTGGTGACAGATTTGTGGCCTTTTTGTGTCCGCAAAATAATTTCATCTTTGCTTTAAAATTATTTCTTTTTATTTTATTTAATCTAAATTTCCTGTTGGAACATAACTTTCTAACACATAAATCTTTAACTTACAAGAAATCAACTTTGGAGAGAGGCTAGGTGGAGTGCATTGTCCTCCTGAAACTATCTCCAACCTTGAGATGATTTTTTTACATATGTATGAAACTGTGGCCATGTGAACCCAAGATTTGAGTGTCTAGATGTGTACTTGAAAAATTCAGGCATAGGTGGTGTTCTGAATATACTGTTTAAAACTTTTCAGATGAAAACTTTCACTCCCAAATTTTTCAGTCTCAGAAATGCCGGAGTACGTCCTGAACTGTAGGGCTTCAGCTGTCTTGTGTGAGTAGGCTCACGCCCAATCGCCTAGACCAGGACTGTGGTCTCTCAACCAGTCTCCTGTGACATCGGAGGACACACTGGGGTCATGAGCAGGGAAAGAGGTCTTCAAGGGCCTGCTTAGAAGAAAATATAAATGACATGTTGCTTGTGCTGTGCAATTGGATAAACTTCAGGTGAAACAGGTGTTTAAAGATTAAAGTCAGCTGGGCTTGGCGGTATGCACCTATAAACCCAGCAGCACCCGCTTGGAAGGCTGAGCTAGAGAATCACCGTGAGTTTGAAGCCACCCACAGCCACGTAGCAAGTTCAAGCCAGTTTAGACTACATGGTGAGACCCTGTCTCACACCCCCCCAAAAAAAAGATTAAATGCACCAAATCAGGGAATACTTACCTAAACTAAAACTTATTAGAATTATTTTCTATGATCTGAAATCTGGGAAAATTTTCCTTATTGTAATTCAAAGTCTGAAGGTGTAGGAAAATCAAATCTCATTACTTTACGTATGATAAACTTTTGCATGGAAAAAAAGTTCTACTAGTGAAATAAAAAGCAAGATGATACTTTCCCCTTGAGGGAATATTTAGACCTTATATAATAATCAAGAATTGGTGTGAATAATACAGAAAAAGCATGAAAAGAGAACAAGAAAATGCCATGGCTCTATGAAAAATAAGCAAAAAGATTCCTAAGAAAAAATGGAAATGATTTGGATTTAAAATGATTCTATACTGCTTCAAAATCAGGGAACCGCATAGTCAAACTGTACAGCTAAATTATTCCTTACCTATCAGATTAGCAGAATTCCCTCAGTTTAGCAACAAGTTCTGCTGGAAAGTCTGAGGAGGAATCAAT